AAATTTTAACGTTATCATAGATATAAGAAGATGTGGTATGAGTGCCAATGAGTCAACTCTCCATCCAAGTCAAAATTTATTAAATAAACCAATATAGGTCAAAGTACGGTCTTCAACACGGAGCCTTGGCTCACACCGAACAGCAAGCTATAAAGGGCCCCCAAAATTACTAGTGTAAAACCATTCAAACGGGAAAACCAACGGTCTAATCTATAAAAAACGAGAAACGAGAAACACTTATGAACCACATCAACAAACGACAACTACTGAACATCAGATTTCTGACTTAGGACAGGTGCAAACAATTGCAGCGGGTTTAAACGTTTTAATGGTACCAAACCTTCACCCTTATCTGAAACAATAGTGTAACATCACAACATAGAAAGACATGTCTGTTTATTTTACATTTATTTCCATTGTTTGGTAAATGACCCTTATTCCGGCTGACTTTTTAGGATAATGTTGTGGAATTCTTTCCTACATATCTTCCGTTAAAACAGCCGTCCAGAGCTGTTGACCTTCCAATCTTTTGACTTATCTTCCTTTAAAACAGCGGTACAGAGCTGTTGCCCTTCCAATCGTTTGACTTATCTTCCTTTAAAACAGCAGTCCAGAGCTGTTGACCTTCCAATCTTTTGACTTATATTCCCTTAACACAGCAGTCCAGAGCTATTGACCTTCCAATCTTTTGACTTATCTTCCTTTAAAACAACGGTCCAGAGCTGTTGACCTTCCAATCTTTTGACTTATCTTCTTTTAAAACAGCAGTTCAGAGCTGTTGACCTTCCAATCTTTTGACTTATCTTCCTTTAAAACAACGGTCCAGAGCTGTTGACCTTCCAATCTTTTGACTTATCTTCCTTTGAAACAGCAGTCCAGAGCTGTTGACCTTCCAGTCTTTTGACTTATCTTCCTTTAAAACAGCAGTCCAGAGCTGTTGACCTTCCAATCTTTTGACTTATCTTCCTTTAAAACAGCGGTCCAGAGCTGTTGATCTTCCAATCTTTTGACTTATCTTCCTTTAAAACAGCGGTCCAGAGCTGTTGACCTTCCAATCTTTTGACTTATTTTACTTTAAAACAGCAGTTCAGAGCTGTTGACCTTCCAATCTTTTGACTTATCTTCCTTTAAAACAGCAGTCCAGAGCTGTTGACCTTCTAGTCTTTTGACTTATCTTCCTTTAAAACAGCAGTCCAGAGCTGTTGACCTTCCAATCTTTTGACTTATCTTCTTTTAAAACAGCGGTCCAGAGCTGTTGACCTTCCAATCTTTTGACTTATCTTCCTTTAAAACAGCGGTCCAGAGCTGTTGACCTTCCAATCCTTTGACTTATATTCCTTTAAAACAGCAGTCCAGAGCTGTTGACCTTCCAATCTTTTGACTTTAGTACATCTGTAAAGTCTTGCTTTTAAACGAAACGTGCCTCTGGCAATCTTCATGTTAATTATGATTTAATTATAATTTGATATCTTAATGACCTATTTTATTTATATTAAGACGTTCATGTAAGTTTAGTCTGTGTTTTAATCTTTATTTGTTCTTTGTAACAAATATTATAAAGAAACGTTGGTAGAAATTTCAAATGATTTAGGATATGCTGTCTCATTGAACTTTAGAACGGATCTTAAAATATACTACATATCTCCTAAACAAATATAATGTTATATAACAGCTACGTACTAGTTTAACTCCAAGATAAGTTTCCGAGAATTTCTGTAACCTGTGAATGTGATGACTTATTACAAACAACATGCAGATTTATACAATACCTGATCCTTCATGTATGTTTGTGTCATCGATCGCTTTTCTGTTAAACACAAAATCTTTTTGAGGTCGTATCATGTTTTTCAATTATGTTTATTCTTAATTCACATGATATACTTGCAGCTGATCACGAGTAGACAACGATGTCTTGTCACGAGATATTAAAACCCCATTTACATTTTTCTCTTACATATATTTGGCAATTTCGTATATGTTTCTATAAAAAAAACATTTAAAATAAACAATAAACTCGTACAGAAAGGGTAGTTCTCTTCTTAAATTTCAAAGATTTAATAGATAACATATGTCACAAAGGAATATGTGCAAGTCCAATTACGGAAGACAATTTGTGTCTGAGACCTTTGATGTCTTTACTTATAATTCGTACAAAATATGTAATAACCGGAGCTCTACTGCCATACTTATCTCATTGTATAATGTTTTGTGTATAATTTAAGTGTTCAGTTCAATGCATAAAATGACTGATATATTAAGTAAATGAACAACAATAAAACTGACACGTTTTTATACGCCCGTTTACAGGATTTATTATGGACTACCGTTTTCCGTCCGTCCGTCCGTCGTTAACATGTCGGACAATAACTCAAAAACGCTTTTACCAATTTTCGTGAAACTTTGATGAATTGTTTATATCTATTGACGTAAATTCCCTTTCGATTTTTATAAATTTTAGATTTTACGTTTCCGTTTATATATATTGACATATTTTCGATTTTTTTTAATTTCCTAATTTTACATTTTTGAGTATTGGGACTTTATTAAAAAAAGGGGGGATTTTTTAAATAAAGTAAAAACAATATGCCCCCCAACTTTCAGTTGCGGGGGCATAAAAAGGGCGGGGGGGGTTTCAGTTTTCGGACAATAACTCAAAAATCCTTTCAGCAGTTTTCATGAAACTTTGGTGACTGGTTTGTATCTATTAATATAAGCTCCTTTTATTTTTTTTATATAAATTTCTGATATGACATTGAGGAACTATGGAAGTTTATTCGTTGAAAATCGACGGGCGTATCATGCGCTCATGGCGCAGCTCTTTATTTTTTCATTGCGACTGTTGATAATCAGTCCCGATGGTCTCAAAGATCGATACCACTGCTAGCGAATGAAAGTCCCGAGGGTCTCATTGTCAATACCCCTTCTAATGGACTGACTGTCCCGTTGGTTTCACTGGTCATTACCATTGCTAGTGGACTGACAGTCCCTTTGGTCTCAATGGTCATTACCGCTGCTAGTGGACCGACAGTACCATCTGTCTCATTGGTCAATATCCCTTACTATTGGACTGACTGTCCCATTAGTCTCATTTGCCATTACCCTTGCTAATGAACTGACTGTCCAATTGGTCTCATTTTCCATTACCCTTGCTGAAGAACTGACTGTCTGATTGGTCACATTTGTCATTACCCTTGATAATGAACTGGCTGTCCCATTGGTCTCATTTGCCATTACCCTAACTAATGAACTGACTGTCCCATTGGTCACATTTGTCATAACCACTGCTAATGAACTGGCTGTCCCATTTGTCTCATTTGTCATTACCCTTGCTAATGAACTGACTGTCCCATTGGTCTCATTTGTAATTACCACTGCTAATGAACTGACTGTCCCATTGGTCACATTTGTCATAACCACTGCTAATGAACTGGCTGTCCCATTTGTCTCATTTGTCATTACCCTTGCTAATGAACTGACTGTCCCATTGGTCTCATTTGTAATTACCACTGCTAATGAACTGACTGTCCCATTGGTCTCATTTGCCATTACCCTTGCTAATGAAATGACTGTCCCATTGGTCTCATTTGTCATTACCCTTGCTATTGGACTGGCTGTCCCATTTGTCTCATTTGTCATTACCACTGCTGATGAACTGACTGTCCCATTGGTCTCATTTGCCATTACTCTTGCTAATGAACTCGCTGTCCCATTAGTCTCATTTGTCATTACCACTGGTGGTGGACAGTAAGTTCCGTGGGTCTCGTTGGTTGATACCATTGCTAGTGAACAGTCAGTCCCGTAGGTCTCGTTGGTTAATACAATTGCTAATGGGCTGACAGTTCCATTGGTCCCATTATTCTATACCAATAATCATGGACTGATTTTCCCTTTGGTCTCATACTTACAATATCCGTACTTACACGAATAGACTTGACCTGACAGTCCCATTTGTCTTATTGGCCAGTACCCCTGCTTATGGACTGACAGTCAAATTAATCTCATTAGTCAATACCCCCGCTGAAGGACTAACATACCCTATGGACCTGCAAAAATCGATTTGGATCTACAAATGAATCAACTGGTCGAAATCAGACGACTTCTTATTGGAGTTATTGCCCTTGACGATCTTTACCGTTTTTTGGCGTTTTGCCAAATATCTCAAAACCTATAATAAATAAATAGAAATTTAAAAAAAGCAAAAATGATCAACAAGACAAGATCTACAAGTATGTCAACATGGCCGAAATTGTCAATTGACTCATTATTGCTCCTTAATAACGATTTTTACCAATTTGTGCGTTTTTACCTTGAAAACTATAAAAGATAGATAGACACTTTTAATATAAAAATGACATAGCAAGACAATATCTATAAATAAGTTAAAGTTTGCCGAAATCGTTACTAGACACTTCATATGAGTTATTGCCCTTAATTGGCGATTTGTTTATCGTTTTTTTTTTTGTGTTTTGGGCAAAACAAAAGAAGATAGAGAGAAATTGTAAACAGAAAAAATGATCAATAATCAGCAAAAAAAGAGATTTTTGTCATGAATTCTATTCTGTTCTAGTCTAGATGTTAGATGTTACTTTTTCTATATTTTTTTGTTTTGGTTAGTCATATGTGTTAATGGTTAGAACTTATTTTGACTTATTTCATTTATATTAAGAAAAAGTAGCATCTACTTTAGATGTCAACATGCAGTGTTCAACAATGAAAAGGTGTCTATATTATATGCTAACCTCTCAATCGCCCCAGTATCCAAAATAAAATCTCGGAGAATATCAAACACCAAATTCAACAAATAACGAAAGAAAAATTACGGTTTCTGTATAGATATCAAACAGTTTTTATAAACAATTCCCGATCTCAATGGGTTTTCAAACTGAGAATTGTCATAAAATTCATTCAGCGTTTCATAAAGTTTATAACGATTTAATTGTACAAATATTTATCAAATGTTGATGACTTTTTATTGTAATCTTAATTATTTATACTTTCAGGCACGAGTCATTATAAACCAAACAGAACTGTTACCACGAAATGTTCGATTGGATTTAATCATGATTAGATTCGCGTCACTCAATCAAATATTAGACCCGTGGGTTTATATTCTATTGCGGAGAGAATTGTTATGGAAAGTGATATCAGGCTTTAAAATGTTGTGTCGTATTAAACAAAACGAACCCGACATTATTCCACAGAGACCTAACTTTGACATAGATAATGATACGTGTTGTATATTTTGTTATCATTGTTTGTGTGACCCCCCAGTGAAACGTCCAAGAGCAGAATCTACGTATTTTTCAACATATGAATCAGAGCATCGCCGCTCAACTCTGACGCCATCGACCCCAAATGGCATTCGAAGGGGCTCATTAAGCGAAACGAATAGAAACCTTTGTCTACTGGTGAACCAACCTCCATACAGCAGGGTTAATAACAAATCACCATCCTAACCCGAAACAACGTATCGAACATTTAATAACGACGCCATGACGAGTCTCGTGACGAGTACATCCTACTGCTCAGTCGTCAAGTTTTGCCAGGAAGTTTAGAACATGCACACATGTTTTCTTTATAAGAAACAAGAATGTTTTGTATTTATTTAATTTTTTTTTTATTAATTTTTAGCTATGGTCTTTAATTTGTAGACTACTATATGTTATTCGGGTTCTTCACAGGGAATATGGGCCCATATCCCCTGTGAAGCCCGATTAACAGTTATATTATATTATACTGGAGTGTCCTGATTTTAACATTATTTACCATTCGTATCTTCGTTTTTGTTAAATGGGGATATGGATTAAGAACCCTGTCAAGGTAACCAATCAAATTGCAGGATTAGCCTGGATATCTGTCAAGGTAACCAATCAAATTGCAGGATTAGCCTGGATATTTCACTCCAATATACTATAACTACTTATTTGGGGAATTTACAAGTTAAATTATACATGACATACTTATCGCAGTGATTTGTTCATGTTCATAAAAAGAAATTTTTCTTATAAACAAAATTATCAACAAAAACAAAAAGAGGTGTAGTCATTTCCCATGTAACTGCTTCACATATAGTTTCAACACCGGAACATTAATAAAGGATAGTGTCACGAGAGGAAAATGATTGACCTGTAGAATTGTGTAACAAGAGCCTGACTGAATGACCTCTTGTTATTGAAACTGTGTGATTCACCTGATCACACAACGAACGGTTATTCTTTAAAATGACAATGACAACTCTGGATCTGAAACTCTGGTGCAAACTAATACTTGAGACTCTGGAACACGCGATGAATAATCCAAACTGAGAATTTCACACATCAAAACATGTTGATTAAAAGTTATGGATATGAAATGTAAATAGAAACCAAAATATAAAATAAATTATTAAACATAATGAATTTAAGTCCAAAATGTCAGAATTGTGAATTTTGAATAAAAGAAGCATATTTTTGCTTGGTCACAATATATTCACGGGTGGGGGGTCTCTTCCTATATAAAGGTACACATAATACAATTTTTTGGAACGTCCAATATATCAATTGGGTGCAATTTCACGTAGATAATATAACAATGGGTAGAAATGTTTTATATGTCAATGGGTCACAAATGTTAATCTTCTGTTAAGAAGTCTGCAAAAACTGTGTTCTGATATTTTTATCTAATGAAATGAATGATCCTTTGTGGTTAACGTCTGAATAAGGTGTCACAATAGCTGGGAAATATATATAAATGGGTTGTGATTTTCCTATGAAATATATGAATGGGTAGGGTTTCTAGCATGAATCAACATATGAATGGGGGTGTTTTGTAAACTCCAGCCGGACTTCTGTACCCAAATTTATATATTGAGACCCCCCTGGATAGAGTCTGAACTAGTATACATTATTATTTAGTTGTTTAAGGGCCAGCAGAAGCCCGCCTCCGGGTTCGAGATTTTCTCGCTGCGTTGAAGACCCATTGGTGGCCATGGGCTGTTTTCTGGTCTTTGGTCCGGTTGTTGTCTCTTTGTCACATTCCCCGTTTCCATTCTCTATTCTATCTTAATTATGTTCTTTGAAGAACTTTCAACAGTATTAGACATGATCACTCATTAAACATGTAATGTATTGCTCACTGCCATTGTCATTGAAGAAAGAAGATTTACAATGTTTTTTTGTGTATTAAAGAAGATCTGAAAACGAAACTTTTGGTTTCATCAAATTGGTCAAAGTCTCTTAAACAAGATATTTTGAGTTGTCATACAGGTACAATATTTATAACTTATATACGCATGAAACTATATATATATATGATACTTTGAGTTTTAGTTACGATTCGAAACCTTTTAAAATGTGCCCATATTTGCATAAAAGAATACAAAGAAAAATGGCTTACCTCTTTAATATGTAACGAACACAAAAAGATGCCAAGGTCGCAATCGAAAATTCACTGAATAAAGAACGCAGTTCTAAACTAAAAAGAGTGAACATTAAATACTTAGTCTAGTTTAAAAACGTTATACCGAAAACTAAAGATTTAGTGACACAAGCCAAACTAAAAACCTGAAGTGAACTTGCTTTCGGATGGTAAAATGTTCCTGTTCTTCTTGTGGGTCCCGTGTACTGTTTATGGCTTGAACTATACAGAATAATTTGTGGTTCTTTTACCATTAGAATAAAATGGGTTTTTGGTGTATGCACATAAGACAATCCAATAAAACATCAAGACCAATTTCAGTTTTTCATCCATTAAATATATCTTTGAAGAAAGAACAAATTTATTATAAAACTAATGAATTATATTATGTGTTGCTCAGAAGGTTTCTACGTTATTTGATCTCTGGTGGAGAGTTGTCTCATTGGCAATCATACCAAATCTTCTATAATGAAAATAACTACAGACGAACATACCACCATAGTACATCATATATACTAAACAAACAAGTCAGCTTGTTACACCGTAAACTCATCAAACAGACAAACAAACCAGCTGGTTACACCATATACTCATCAGACAGACAAACAAACCCGCTAATTACATCATATACTCATCAGACAGACACACAAACCAGCTTGTTACACCATATACTCGTCAGACAGACACACAAACAAGCTTGTTACACCGTATACACATCAGACAGACAAACAAACCAGCTTGTTACACCGTGTTCTCATCAGAGGACACACAAACCAGCTTGTTACACCGTATACTCATCAGACAGACAAACAAACCAGCCTGTTACACCGTGTTCTCATCAGAGGACACACAAACCAGCTTGTTACACCATATACTCATCAAACAGACAAACAAACTAGCTTGTTACACCATATACTCATCAGACAAACACAAACCAGCTTTTTACACCGTATACACATCAGACAGACACACAAACTAGCTTGTTACACCGTGTTCTCATCAGAGGACACACAAACCAGCATGTTACACCGTATATTCATCAGACAGACACACAAACCAGCTTGTTACACCGTATACTAATCAGACAGTCAAACAAACTAGCTTGTTACACCGTATACTCAACAAACAGACACACAAACTAGCTTGTTACACCATATACTCATCAGACAGACAAACAAACCAGCTTGCTACACCGTATACTCACCAGACACACATAAACCAGCTTGTTACACCATAAACTCGTCAGAAAAACACACCCGCTTGTTACACCGTATTCTCATCAAAAAGACTCACAAACCCGCTTGTTACACCGTATACTAATCAGACAGACAAACAAACCCGCTTGTTCCGCCATAAACTAATCAGACAGACAAATAAACTAGCTTGTTACACCGTATACTCATCAGACAGACAAACAAACTAGCTTGTTACACCGCATACTCATCAGACAGACACACAAACCAGCTTGTTACACCATATATTCGTCAGACAAACACACCCACTTGTTACACCGTATTCTCATCAGAGGACAAACAAACCAGCTTTTTAAACCGTTTACTCATCAGAGGACAAACAGACCAGCTTGTTACACCGTATACTCATCAGACAGGAAACAAACCCGATTGTTTCACCGTATACTCATCACACAGACAAATAAACTAGCTTGTTACACCGTATACTCATCAGACAGACACACACACCAGCTTGTTACACCTTATACTCAACAGACAGACACACAAACCAGCTTGTTACACCATATACTCATCAGACAGACACACAAACCAGCTTGTTACACCATATAATCGTCAGACAAACACACCCGCTTGTTACACCGTATTCTCATCAGAGGACAAACAAACCAGCTTGTTAAACCGTTTACTCATCAGAGGACAAACAGACCAGCTTGTTACACCGTATACTCATCAGGCAGGAAACAAACCCGCTTGTTTCACCGTATACTCATCACACAGACAAACAAACTAGCTTGTTACACCGTATACTCATCAGACAGACACATAAACCAGCTTGTTACACCGTATACTCATCAGACAGACAAACAAACCAGCTTGTTACACCATATACTCATCAGACAGACACACAAACCAGCTTGTTACACCGTATACTCATCAGACAGACAAACAAACTAGCTTGTTACACCGTATACTCATCAGACAGACAAACAAACCAGCTTGTTACACCGTATACTCATCAGACAGACACACAAACCAGCTTGTAACACCATATACTCGTCAGACAATCACACCCGCTTGTTATACCGTATTCTTATTAAACAGAATCACAAACCCGCTTGTTTCTCCGTATACTAATCAGACAGACACACAAACCAGCTTGTTACACTGTATATTCATCAGACAGACAAACAAACTAGCTTGTTACACCGTATACTCATCAGACAGACAAACAAACCCGCTTATTACATCATCTACTCGTCAGACAGACACACAAACCAGCTTGTTACACCATATACTCACCAAACAGACAAACAAACTAGCTTGTTACACCGTATACTCATCAGACAGACAAACAAACTAGCTTGTTACACCGTATACTCATCAGAACAGACACACAAACCAGCTTGTTACACCGTATACTCATCAGACAGACAAACAAACCAGCTTGTTACACCATATACTCATCAGACAGACACACAAACCAGCTTGTTACACCGTATACTCATCAGACAGACAAACAAACTAGCTTGTTACACCATATACTCATCAGACCAACACAAACCAGCTTTTTACACCGTATACACATCAGACAGACACACAAACTAGCTTGTTACACCGTGTTCTCATCAGAGGACACACAAACCAGCTTGTTACACCATATACTCATCAAACAGACAAACAAACTAGCTTGTTACACCATATACTCATCAGACAAACACAAACCAGCTTTTTACACCGTATACACATCAGACAGACACACAAACTAGCTTGTTACACCGTGTTCTCATCAGAGGACACACAAACCAGCTTGTTACACCGTATTTCCTCAGACAGACACACAAACCAGCTTGTTACACCGTATACTAATCAGACAGTCAAACAAACTAGCTTGTTACACTGTATACTCAACAAACAGACACACAAACTAGCTTGTTACACTATATACTCATCAGACAGACAAACAAACCAGCTTGCTACACCGTATACTCACCAGACACACATATACCAGCTTGTTACACCATATACTCGTCAGAAAAACACACCCGCTTGTTACACCGTATTCTCATCAAAAAGACTCACAAACCCGCTTGTTACACCGTATACTAATCAGACAGACAAACAAACCCGCTTGTTACGCCATAAACTAATCATACAGACAAATAAACTAGCTTGTTACACCGTATACTCATCAGACAGACAAACAAACTAGCTTGTTACACCGCATACTCATCAGACAGACACACAAACCAGCTTGTTACACCGTATACTCATCAGACAGACACACAAACCAGCTTGTTACACCGTATACTCATCACACAGACAAACAAACTAGCTTGTTACAACGTATACTCATCAGACAGACAAACAAACTAGCTTGTTTCAACGTATACTCATCAGACAGACACACAAACCAGCTTGTTACACCATATACTCGTCAGACAAACACATAAAACAGCTTTTTACACCGTATACACATCAGACAGACACACAAACCAGCTTTTTACACTGTAGTCTACTTAAACAGACAAACAAACAGCTTCTTACACCGTATTCTCATCAAAGGACACACAAACCAGCTTGTTACACCGTATACTCATCAGACAGAAAAACAAACCAGCTTGTTACACCGTATACTCATAAGACAGACAAACAAACTAGCTTGTTACACAATATACTCAACAAACAGACAAACAAATTAGCTTGTTACACCATATACTCATCAGACAAACACACAAACCAGCTTTTTACACCGTATACTAATCAGACAGACACACAAACTAGCGTGTTACACCGTATACTAATCAGACAGACAAACAAACCAGCTTGCTACACAGTATACTCATCAAACAGACCAACAAACCAGC